TTGGTGCCACTTCTCGGCTGAGTCACCACACATGGGGCCTTCCTCGGGACAGGGAGGCTTGATTTTCAACCCTCGAGCATTTCCCTACTCAGAAAAGCAGACAGTGCCAGGCTGGGAATGGGCTTTGGGTCTTGTTGCAGCTGACAGCCCTGGCCGCAAGTCCCTGGTGCCTGGGGGAGCATCGGCACCCAGTGTGGGGCCAGCCTGAGCCACCCACCGAGCCGCAGCCAGCCCAGCTCCCTGCTGCCTTCAGCCTTGCTCCTGGCCTCCGCTACCCCACTCTGGGCTTCGATGCTGTGCCAGTTCCTATGGCCAGAGCTGGGCTTAAGGCAGAGTTTCCAAGTGCACACATGAAGAGGATGTGAGAAAAGCTCCTTTCTCCCACTAGAGTCAAAACCATGGTCCCCAATCCCTGCTTTGCAACAGGAGCCATAGTCCATCGTTACACATCACCCAATCCTGCCTGCTATAGGCTGCAATTCAGACATTTCCTTCTATTCCCAAGTCCAAGCAGCAAAACAGGGGCAGCCACCTGGTGATCCAGACATAGAAGGGGCTCTCAGGATACGACCCCCTGCTCCAGACTCCAGTGTTGTCCTTGGGTAGCTCCAAATGGCTCCCTCTTGCAGGAGGGCTCAGACCTCCCCCTACACCCGACCAAGCCTGGCTGCATTCAGCAGCTCTCCAGCAGCACAATCTCTCCTAGAAGAGGCAGATGGCAAACATCCCATCCCAGCTGATAATAGAAAATCAGGCAAACATCCAAACGGGAAGGACACTCCTGGCAGAGCGGTGGCTCCCAAGCACCTCCCCAGCTCCTCGCGCAGCACCCGTCCAGCCCCAGCAGCCACCCTTAGCCATGCTCAGGCACTGTCTCCACCACGCTGCTCCACACACAGCCCACGGCACCCAGTGGGCACTTCCCCACCCAAGCCCAGACCACCCCGGAAAGGGGCAGAGGCAGCAGCAGGGGCTGCCGCCCCCAGTCCTGCAGACCCCGCTCCCCGGCGCGGCAGAAGAGCATCATCTGGCGGCCAGGCTGCAGCAGAGCCCCTCACCGCGGCTGCACGGCGGGCAGCCCAGCAAACGGCTCCTCCACAGAGCACCTGCGTCCCTGCTGCACGTCTGCCCCTGCTGCACGTCTGCCCGCACGTGACCACTGTGCTCGTCGCTGTGCTCGGGGGAACGCAGGAAACCCCAGCACTGCCCCAGGCTGCTTCTGCTCTGTGCCAGGAAGGGCAGCTCTTCCAAGCAGGGCTCCGGTTGCACAGATCACTCGGGGAGGTGTGAGCAGGATTAACGCTGCTAGCAATGACACAAAGCAGCAGGCCACCTCCACGTGCTCAAAGCCAAGTGACAACCCACCTTTTAGCGCAGTGACCTGGAAGGTGCAGGGACTCTGCAGCGTGCACAGCAAGCAAGGGGGCTGCAGCTCTACCAGCCCTACCACAGTCACCACCCTGCACCCGCAGCCTGCGGGCAATGGGGGTCTTCACACCAGGGCTGAGGTGCCACCAAAAGCCACAGCTCCTCTCTGCTCCTGCCCATCTCGAAGGCTCTCAGAGCACTCTGTGCACACCGAGGTGTGAGCTCCTGCCTTCAGGGACCCACACAGGTCCTGCCCGAGCAGCACTGCCTCTCTCCCTGCGGCAGCCCAAGCTTTCCTCCTTGTCCCTGTTCCAAGGCACTTGGCTTGAGCACCTTCCTCCTTCCATCTGCCTCAGGGAGCAGGCCAAGCCTGGGGCTGCTGCTGGCTTGGGTTACACACACCACACGCTTTCCTAGCTGCTCTGCTCCAGACCTGCAGGTTAACATCAGCACTTTCTTACCCTGCATCCCAATTCCTTGGCACACACTTGTTTTCCATCAGTCCATCCACTGCATTAGCATACAACATTGCTGTTTCAGTCTGTAATTTTGTCCTAAGCCAATACCCTGAAAAACACCAGGAAAGAGGGACCTTCCCTCATGAAGACTGCAGGTAAGGCTCATCCTAAGGAAAGCACCTGCCCACAGTCCAAGGACATCCCTCTTACCTCCTCCAAGGCAGCTCCAGCACACTGGGATCCAGCTGGTTGTCCCACCTTCTGCAGCTGCCTCCCCACTGCTGCAAACAGAGCAACCCCCATGAAAGGCACCTATAAAACACCCACGACCCCTCCCTTCCTGCCTGCCACCAAGCTCTCACCTGTGGAGCTTTACTCAGGTGCCTCCTCATTAATCCCGTTACCAGGAAGTAGCCCCAGAAATGTGGGTAATTAATGTCTTCATGCACCTGTCCTGGGAGCCAAGTGACCGTGACAAAGTGTGGAGTTTCTGGTTTTCAAGTACTTCAGGTGGTGGCCTGCATGTTGCAAAATTCCCTGGGAATTTTGCAGTTTAATTATTGTGTAAAAACAAAGCAAAATCCAAACCTCTCTCTCCCAAAACCTGCAACCGTCCAGTCTCTGCCACCATGAGCCAGCACAGACCCCTGTCCCCAAGCAAAGGGACATCCAAAAGGAGCCCAGCTTTCCTCGCCGGAGCTGCCTAAGGGGAGTGAGCACTCCAGCTCAGTGAGCCCTGGCTGAGCGCAGGGAAGCTGCATTTGCACCCGAAGGGTGTTTGACATCTCTGTTTTTGCAAGGAAGTGGGGCTTGGCCTCTGAATTTCTGATAAACCAGGGTTGTATCACTGGCAGATAACTGATTTGTACTCATGATTTTTGTTTTATAGCACCTTAATCTGTCTTAGCTGTGTTGATTGCTGCACAAAACTATGAGGAAGGACAGCTCCAGCCCATAAGGCGCTTAGAGCCACAAGGCACAGAAATGAAGAAAGTCCCAGTGCGCAGAGGTGGTTAATGAACCTTCTGGGGGCGACCACAGACCCTCAGACACATCTGCCCCTGGAATAAGAGCCCGGAGTGCTGGGGGGCAAGATCAGCTGCATCAGCCTTAATAACTGCAGATCAATAGTTTCTCCAGGTAGGGCGGCCAAAGGTAATGCTGCTTATCTGTGCCTGGTGCTCCTTAGATACCCAATATCTAAGAGTGCTTTAAAACACTACTATTAGCAGGTATTCCTCAGAGATTAGAGCAATGATTCCTTCTGTCTATCCTCTCGCCTCCCCAATGGAGCTGAAAGGCACGATAACTTATCAGCACCTTCCATGTGCTCTTAGTAATGGCATGGGGACTTGCTAACTCACCTGGGAACAGCACACAGGATCCTTAGGGCTTCCCAGCTGGCTAAATGATAATATCTTTATGATGCGAGCCCTTTAAACCCTCAGCGCCTGGCAGGCCCCTCGCTGTCCTCGCGGAGCAGGAAAGGACAATATCAGACCGTGGGGCAGGCAGCAAAGCCTGATAAGGAAGCAGCTCCCAAGGCGGGTGGGAAGCGGCAGGGCTGGTTTCCCTGCTGGCAGCAGCTTTCCCGGACACGAGGTGACTCCAGGAAGGGCCGAGCCCAGGCACACAGGACATGGGCGCATGGGCACACGGGTCATGGGACACTGGCACACTGGGAGAGGTGGCACTGGGACACTGATGCCCCATGGAGAGGCTACTGCGGGCCAGGGAGGAGCGACCAGGTCACACGGGGTTCACATGGGCACCTCCACACCCCAAGCCCAGCACGAGGAGCAGCCAGAGGACGGCTGGAAGTCTGCGCGTGGAAGGAGCCTGGGAAGCCGGCGGTCCAACAGCCCTGGGCATGGACACGAGTCTGCTCTGCCCAGCTCACCCTGAGAGAAACTCGGCCAGATGAGCCCGCACAGGGCTGAGCAGACGGTGCTTGGCAAGTGAGAGTGATGGCTTGGCCGCTAGGAAGCAGGCTAACAAATAGATTGGGTATCTGAGGAGAGAGGAGGATGAGCAAAGACACAAAGTTTGAAAGTTCAGATCCGGCGGAGCCGTGTCAACCTCTGTTACATAACTCTACAAAAGCCTTAAACTCTGTTTTGCTGAGAAATGACTCATCAGCAATGATAAAACCCCAGAGAAGTCATAAAAATTGCAGACATTGATAAAATTCAGCATTGATATAACGAAGCTCAGCAGTGCGCAGAGGGGATGCGGGGTCACGGTCCCGCAGCCCGGGCCGGCACCCACGGACCTGCTGCAGCTCCCACGGAGGCAGCGGGGGCTCCACGGCCGCGGGAGCCGGGCTCAGGGGACACAGCAGCTTCAAGCAAGCCTGGGTACAGGTTCACGCTCTGGGGGTCTCAGGCATGAGCAGGGTCCAAGGGAAGAGCCCCCTGCTCCTGAAAGCTGCCTGCCATTCCGGACACTTCTGCTGCCATTGCTCCAGGTACTGGCACTGGCGGGACCCTCAGCTCCCGGATTCCGTGACACCTTTACCCACGACCTCTGTGTCCTCAGGGGCTTTTTCCCAGTTTGGACACCGAAGTGCAGCAGGAGACATCACTGAGTTAGTCCCCGCTTAGGTTCCCCTCTCAGTGCTGCTGTCCCATCTCAGCACAGCCCATGGCCCTCTTTCTGTCCATGCAATGAGCTCCCTTGCCCTGCAGCAGGAGGATGAGCCCCCCGTTAACGTGCCTGGGACATCCTCCAGGACCCACAGCAACCACTGCCCACACTGCAGCACCTCGAGAGGTTCCTGCCAAGCAAAGAGCGCGCAGCAAAAGCCCGGGCTATGGAGGGGATACAGCAAAGGGCTACAAGGGGACGGCACGGGGTGAAGGATGGCCCCTGGCCGGCACAGCATCCTGCTGTGGATGGAGCTTTCATACAGGCTGCCTGTAGCAGGCACATCAGCACCTCCTTGCATTCATAAGAATTAAAATAATGCCAAATTGCACTAGTGGAGGAGACAGGTCTGGTGCTTGATCCTGCGGAGAAGCACAGCCACTCCACTTCAGCGAGACAAAAGCACGAGGCTCATTCTGAAGTGCAGCACTGGCCGAAGCCATGCACCTGACCAGCAATTGCAAGATTAGATAAGAAAGGAACTTCGTTCCCTCCCGCACATATTAACGGGAGCACTCCGAGCGTCAGGACTTGGAGGGCGAGATGTTCCCTTCGCTGGCGCTCGCGCTGGGTGTGCTCGGGGCCGCGCAGTGCGCCCCGGTGCCGCAGGCGGCCGGCCGCAGCAAGCTGCTGCTCGTCTCCTTCGACGGCTTTCGCTGGAACTACGACCAGGACGTGGCCACCCCCAACCTGGACGCCCTGGCCGCGGCGGGCGTGAAGGCGCGCTACATGACGCCGGCCTTTGCCACCATGACCAGCCCCTGCCACTTCACGCTGCTCACGGGTGAGTCCCCGCCGGCCGCGCGTCCAAAGCAGCCGGGTCGCCTGCAGGACATGGAGCTTAAGGCTCCGCTATAGGTAAGGCAAGTCGTGCAGACCAGCCCTGGCTGCTGCCTGGCATCGGCAGCACGCACAGCTCTAGAATCCAGGAGGACAGGGCGACACAACACAAAGCGATAGAACCGAACCTGTGTTTATCGAAGGTAAATAGCAATAGAACCGGACCTGTATTTATCAAAGGGAAATAGCACCAGACTAACCGGGAGCCTCCTTTTATAAGATAAATGGTTTTTAGACGAGGGAAATGCAGTAAATCTAATCTTTCTGGACTTCGGTAATGTATTTAATATGATGCCACATGGGAAATCATTAGTTAAGAAGTAGATGAGTATTAGGCCAAAATCTCTGATGTGAGTACCTGGCTGCAGGGAAGACAAGGGCAGGTAATGCTGAACGGAGGCTACGGGCTGGGGAGAGGGTAACGGGGAATTCCTGGAGAATCCATTGGGGAGCCAATCTTATTTAAGATTTTCATTAATAACCCCGGCATAAAGGAGTGTAACGTGCTAATGAAATCTGCTCATGAGAGCAGACAAAGAGGCAGCGTCAATGCAAAGAGGCCTGGGATATCGTGCCCAAGTAACTGTGCAGTCTTGAGGACCAGAATAATAACAATGATGTGAAATGTATTAGCACGAAGCACAAGTCTCATTCCTAACAAGGATTTCTGTGAAGAGAGGAAGGAAAAAACCCACAGTGATTAGATAAATGCAGCATCTGCGGGCCCAAATGTGAAGAAAAAGGTTGGAGGAATTGCAGGATGCACCTGTGCTTCCAGGAGAGGAGCCGTTATCCAGGTCACGTTCCTGAGGGCCACGGACTCCCTGTGGAAGTGAGGGATGGGCATTCCCTAGGCAACATCAGCCCTGCTGCCAGGGACCCCGCCTTGTGCCAGCCCAGAGTCAGGGGCAGGAAAAGGGCAAAACCAAGGCAAGGGGGTAGCAGAGGAAGGGGAAAAGGGGCAGGGCGGCACTCCGTGATTTGCCCATTTGCTCAGTGCACGAGTGAGCGACTCGGGGTGGGCACAGGAGACCCCCGGGTGCAGCCCCTTTCACCCCCACCTCGTCCCTCTCTCCCGCCAGGGAGGTACATCGAGAACCACGGCGTGATCCACAACATGTGGTTCAACAGCAGCACGGGCCAGAAGCTGCCCTACTACCACACGCAGGGGGTGGCGAGCTGGTGGGACAACGGCAGCCTGCCCCTCTGGATCACAGCGCAGCGGCAGGTGAGCGGCGCCGCCGGCACCGGACCCGGCACCGGCACCAGCCCGAGCGACCGGCACCATCTCCAGCGGCCACGGGCTGACATCCGTGCTGCAAACGGCACACTAATTAGACAGCAAGAAGCTAAACCCCCAGGCTCTGGCAGGAGTAATTATGAGCATTTATTTAAAAGAGAGAGAGAAAAAAAAAAGATGCATTTCAGCTTTATTAAGATATTTCTAAAACAGGTTATTCATTTCCTGCTTGAGGAAACCTCAACTAGTTCTTGAAAGAGCGAAATGAGCCCAAGCTTTAATGCATTGAGGTTCAGCTCTCTCCTCAGGCTCTCTCAGGGCTCTGCAAGGGGCTGAGCTCCCGTTCCCGAGCAAGGCTTCCTTGGAGCTCGGTAGGTTTTGGCTCTGACTCTGAGAGAAGACCAAGACCTGCCCAATAAGACATAAACATATTGCTTTTCCCCACCAGATCCAGGCTTTAGGGTGACTGCTCATACGGTTCAAGTTCAGCACACCTTAATGCTGGAGAATCCACATAAGACACAAGTGGGGTCTATTCTAAAGTTAAACCTGCTGTTCCTGGCAGAATGAGATTCACAGGAATGTTGGGAAAGGCAGTATTTTTGATGAACCAGTTTTAATCGGCAATATGCAGGACAACCTCATTAGAGGCAGAATTAGACATCATGGGGTTGAATGAACCAGCCACACAAGTAGTTGGTTGTGCTGAAAGATGGGGAGATTCTGCAGAGTGAGCTCAAGTGAATGTATGCCCTGAAATGTCTTCTCTAACAGGGATTAAAGACCGGCTCCATCTACTTCCCTGGAGGAAAAGCAACGTATCAAGGGGAAGAAGTGAATATGAAGATGGTAGAGCCGCTTTTGTTCAACTACAGCAATGAAAACAACTGGAGGCAGAACATCGACACCGTCATGGAATGGTTCACGGTGCACAACCTGGACTTCATTGCCCTCTACTTTGGCGAGCCAGATTCCACAGGACACAAGTACGGCCCGGAATCCACAGAGAGGAAGAACATGGTCAGCCAGGTGGACAGGACGGTGGGTTACTTGCGGCAACGCATCGCCGAAAGCGGCCTAGAATCAAACCTCAACCTAATCATCACGTCTGACCACGGCATGGACACCGTCATAAAGACCAATGAAATTCACCTCCGGACAGTGGAAAACTTCACCTTCAGTGACATCCAATTTGAACTCTTAGATTACGGACCAAATGGGCTCCTGGTGCCCAAAGAAGGAAAACTAGAGCATGTATACACAGTGCTGAAAAATGCCCACCCAAAGTTACACGTATACAAGAAAGAAGAGTTTCCAAAGAGACTCCACTATGCCAATAATTCCCGTATCACCCCGCTCTTGATGTATAGTGATCCAGGATATGTGATCCATGGGGTAAGACGCATGTGCAGACACACCTCACTGTCTTTCCCTCTATCTATCCTTCTTTTTGCATCATTCCAGTACCTACTGGAATTGTGCCTTCATTTCGATTAGTCCCCCTGCAATCAGAAATTCCAGCTCTTCCTTTCTCTCTTGTTCAGACAATCAGAACGGGGTGCTCAAGACCCACGCGCAAGGCGGGTGGAAGACGCAGCAGGGCTTCTGTTGGGTGACTGCTGCCTTCGTGGGGCTGCACTTTGGGGTGCTGAACCCCAGCCTGACGCTTCGGGCACTCACATCCTCTCTGCCTTTCAGAGATTCAAGGTGCAGTTCAACAAGGGGGAACACGGCTTCGACAACGAGGACATGAACATGAAAACCATCTTCCGTGCCGTGGGGCCAGCCTTCAAGCGCGGGCTGCTGGTGGAGCCCTTCGAAAGCGTGCACGTGTACGCGCTGCTCTGCGAGCTGCTGGGCATCGTCCCCGAGCCCCACGACGGGTCCCTGCACGTCACGCAGCCCATGCTGGGTGAGCGCTCTGTGGGGACAGGGCCCCCGGCCCCTCGGGGCTGCGCTTCCCTGGCGCAGGAGCTGCGCTGCGATTCCTGCAGGAACATTGACATCTAGCGGCAGCCGCGCTCCCGCTCCCGGGCCCTGCAGCTCTCGGCCCCAGGAAGGGGCCATCCCTGCCTGGCCACCCTGGGAGTCACCGGCCGTGCCCGGCGCAGGGGCTCGGGCTAACGCTGCTCCCCTTCGGCCTTGCAGATTCGAGCGCCCCTCTCCTTGCCGCCAAGAGGCTGCCGCTGCTGCTGGGAATTGCTGCCGTGCTGGGGTGCTGGGGAGGAATATACTGACCCCGGCTCCGCACAGGTAACCTACTGCAGGGATACGCAAAAGGACCTCAGGGATAAGGGCAAGTGTCACCCTGAGGGGTGAATTCTTGACGGCTCTGTGTGTGAGTGCACGGGAATGAAGGATACCAGTTTGTTGCCTGCCGCGGAAGTGCTTATGTGCCTGGAGATCCATCAGGAGAAATGATTCCCAGTCTCATTTCCGGGCACTTTCAATGCTGAGCACACACAGCCTATATACAAAGCCTGCATTTACATGAAATAAGTAACACCACTGCTATGCTTTCTTCTCTTGGCAGCCTCCGAGTTCCAGGCAGCTCTACAAGAAATCCGTGCAGAGGAGAGGAAGGGCACATCTCGAGCAGACACCCATCACAGGCGCACCGGAGTGTGCCGAGACGCGCTCCGACACATCGCCACGCTGCTGATCCGCTTCCCTCCGCAATTCCGGCGGCGCCTGCCCCGCGCCACGGGAGCTGACACCCATTTACACGGCGACCTTGCAAAGTCCCCCCCAGCCTGGGACGTGACGGGCTCGGGAAATAGGAAGAAAGTGTTCGGCTTGAAACCTTATTGGGGGTGGGGGTCAGGCCTGCAAACAGCCCACAAAGCAAACAACGGGGAGCAGCACGCGCCAGCGCCGCCGGGGCTGCTCAAAGCAGCATTGAGGAGCGCATTGCAGAACAGCCTTCCCGGGCCGGTCTGGGGATGCTGGGGCTCCCCGCGCTGTCCCTACAACCACGTCCCCTTAGCAGAGAGGCAAAGCGAGGTCTGCAGTGAGGCTGCGGCTCTCAGGGCGCTCGGAGCCTCCAGGTTTCACAAGGAGGCCGCAGTCACGGCCGGGCTGCCTGGGCTCCGTGCCGGGCGGGCGCCGCGCGCGGGAGCTGCGGGGCCCATTGCAGCCGCTTTTCCAGGACGAGTTCCCTGGACAACACAGACATGACAAATTTCACAGAACCGGCTTCCTGCTGCTGGATCTTTGTGCTAACAACTAGTTTTTGTCTCAGTTGTGAGTGGGAATTTAGCTTCTGGCTGAGCAGGCCCTTTTTCAGCGAGACACGAGCTTTGTGGCATAAATCTCCAGTGAAGGTATCATTCTGCCTAAAGAATTCTCTGCAATATGTTCCAAAACCTGGCAAAGACATTTCCAGTGTCCCTGAATTCCTACAGCTGCCAATATCCAGGCCCTCGAGGAGCCTGCTTTCTTATTTACTTGGAGGGAGAATAAAGAAAAAAAAAGAATGCATTGAACATTTCTTTGGTACAATCCTATTTACAGCAAAGAAAATCCTTCAAATCTTCCATCTCTGAACAGAGCAGGAAGCAGGAGGACTCGTTTCCCTGGCCAGAAATCTGGCCATGCTTCTCAGTCTTCATTTCTCTTGGAGATCATCTCCTTTCCGACCTTCTCCTCTCCCCCCGCTCGCTCTTTTCTCGCAGAGACCCAGTCCTGACAAGAGCTGCCCGTCGTCGTCTTCAGCAATTGCTCTCCCAAAGGCACTATCCCTTCTCCTTCTGTCTTTCCAGCTCCTCCCCTGGGTTTGGCCTCCGTCGGCCCTCACTGAACATGGTCCCTTGATTCCCTGGTGCAAGACTGAGCGTGCCGGGATCAGACCAGTTGTCCCTGGGCAATATCCAGTGCACCAGGACGAGCTCCCTTGGCAATACCAAGTGCTCCGGGACCACGTCCCTGTGCAATACTGAGTGCTCTAGGATGGGCTCCCCATGCAATATAGAATGCACGGGGACCAGCTCCCTGTGCAAGACCGAGTGCTCCAGGACCGGCTCCCCATGTAGTATTGAGCGCTCTGGGACCACACTGGATCCCTGTGCAACACTGAGTGCACTGGGACCAACCAGCTCCCCGTGCAGTTCCGAGTGCTCCGGGACCGGCTCCCGTGCAGTTCCGAGCGCCGGCGGGCGGTGGCTCCCGCGCCGTGCTCACAACGTCCCAAAGCCGCCGGGAGAGCCCCGAGCAGCTGCGGGGCAGCAGCAGCTGATAACCAACCACATCCAGGAACACGTTGTTCAATGGTAAACTCGCCGGAACGGCTGTGAAGGCACTCGAAGCTACCGGAACCGCTCTCCCTCCGATGTGTGCCGGCAGACCCATCCCTGGGGTAATAAAGTCCTCCTCGGTTTCAGCTTTAAAGGCCTGCGTGACTTACATGGGAAGGAATTCCCTCTTCTAATGCTGCTCAGCAATAAAGAAGAAGCTGAAGCTTCAAAAGGAAGAAAACTGGGACACTGAAGCTCGCAGGCGGCTGCTCCTGAGTCCCAAGGGTGCTGATTAAGCACGGATCCCAATTTTCAGCTTTGGCTGCACCGGAACACACTGGGCAGCTCCAAGTGCTGCCCTGGAGATCAGCGTAACAACCTGCTTTAATCTTCCAGCCACCTCCACCCTGGCAACACATCCCCAGATTGACAGGCGCTCGGCAGCCGTGGGGTGGATTCTCCATGGACAGGGAGGGTTTAGCCCCATGGACACACAGGGCTGCGACAGCCTGAGCTGCCTTGGACCTTCCTGCCCCACTCCGAGCCCAGGATCAGTTTTCCAGCGCAGCCTCTCCCTTCTCACACATAATTCAGGAGCTCCCTGCAATTCTGCATGTTCTTCCTTTGCAGCCCTTCCCTTTGCATCCTGCCCCTTCTGCAATTTCATGACATGTCGTTTCAGCCCCACATCTAACCAAAACACAGAAAGTGGCTCCTCGCTCTCAAAGGCAGCCCCGGAATGCGCAGACGAGGCTCCGCAGCGGCTCCCGCTCCCCCAGGAAGCTCCGCAGCTTCCCAGTGATTCATTCGCAGGCGGCCCTGCCCGGGGCTGGGGTCACGCAGCAGGGAGAGCCCTGCTGTGCGTCGCATCCCAATTTGCTATGCATTTCCACACCATTTGCTTCCCTTTCTTTTTCCTGCACTGGAAAGATGCTTGCTACCCAGGGGTCCAAACTGCTCCAAGACAGTCAAATAACAACACACAGATAAGTATTTACGGCGCACATGCACTTGGTAGCAAAACTTGCACCCCTCACAATGCCTGTGGGGGTAGCGGGGGGGACACGGCAGGGGCCCTCGCACAGTGACAGTCATGGCCCTGCTGCCACATGCTGCCCTCCCTGAGCCCAGCGCTGCAGACCTGGCCGCCCTCGGCGGCAGTGCCCAAATGAGATGCAAATCCCTGTGTTTGGATTGGCTGCCGCCTCGGGAAAGGATGAGCGCTTGCCCACAGCCAACACGGCCCCGTCCCCAAAGCCCCCGACATCTCGCACAGGAGCGAGACGCAGCCGGGAAGGATTTGTCGGGAAGGATTTGTCGGGATCCACGGAGCCACCAGCCTCTGGGGCATGCCACCCCACTGATGTCCTGCTCCAGCTGCTGCTCATTCAGACTCCCCTGGCCCACCAGGAGCAGCATTTATTCACCAGGGAGGACCTGGTCCTCTGATGAACTGGCTCCATCCGACACCAGACGCGCACAGTGTCCACCTGAGGCTGCCGGGCCCCCGGCTCCGGCTGCAGCATTCCTGGCATTGCTGCCATGCTTGGGAAGAGCCAGGATATTATATTCCACCGGATTAGCTAAGGGGGCTGGATCTCATTTTTAAGATGCCAGGGGTTTTCTCGGTGGCTGCAGGGCTCCTTGGCCTCGCTGGCACTCGGTGCTGCCGGAGCCGCGCCTGGGACATCCCTGTGCTGCACATTCCCGAGCTCCGCAGGGAAGGAGCCCGTGCCAGGGCCGGCTGATGCGGAATTGCTCTGCAGGTGTTCGCAGGCCCCGCGGAGCCCCGAGCAGCAGCCAGCCCCACTGCAGCGCAGGCAGCCGCACTGCCTGCAATCCCGCTATTGCCGACCTCCAAGCAACCCCGACACGCACCTGAAAACTCAGCAGATCGCAGCGCACAAACAAACGCAGGATCCCTTTTTACTCACTTCCTGTTTTTGTAACTATTCAAAGCCACAAGTTCGAGCTTTTTTAGTGTTTATAGGGATTTGTTCTCTTTCCTTTTCCTTTCTTTCCTTTTTCTTTCCAGAGCACAAGCGAGATTTTTCGCTTGCCCACATGGCTCCAGGACCCGGGGCTTTATTAATGATATCAAGTAACACAGAGCTGCAGGCAGGCCATGGAAGCCGCTATCCAAGAGCCGCCCTGGTGCCCGCGCCCAGGATTTGATCCCCCACGGTGGCGGTGGAGTCACAGCTGGGAGGTGAGGAAGAGGAGGAGGAGGGATGCAGCAGAAGCCCTGCGCTCCGCGGAACGAGGCGCCCAAGGAAGGCAGGATCCCGCAGGGACGAAACAGCCAGTGCTGCCCGTGGGGGTCACAAGTGAAGCTTCCCATTGAAGACAACCCCAAAATGCTGCTCCCAAAGAGGCAGAAGGCTGCACATGTGCATGGAGCTCACGCAGGCCGCACGCAACGTCTCACACTCGTTTTTTGCTAAAATTGAAGAGATGCTGCACACAGAGAGCTGACCCAAGCTGAATTAACTTCAAAGGAAGAAAAACTGAAGTATTAGCTTACATTTCTATATCATTTTTGGTTTAAAAGAACTCTTTCAATTATTCTTCTGAGCAGGCAATAAGCTTAAACTAACTGCGAAAACAACCCAGGGCAATGCACCCCAAGTAGCAGAGCTACCTAACAGCCTCCAAAACCTCTCCTGTCCCACATGCAGCCTGAGGCAACCCCCGCAAGCAAACCAGGCATTTGCCTCTTCCATCTTGCACCCGGAACGACGCTGCTGCCGGTGGCGGGGACACCTGCCCGCGCTGGGACAGGGCTGAGGGTGCTGACTCATCTTCCATGCCCATGGAGCACCCTATTTCCTGTGTCCATGGAGCACCCTATTTCCCGGCTCTCGCGCCCAGCACTGCCGCCCGCGTGCCCAGCAGCACCGGGAGCACGCGGCATTCCCAGCACGCATTCCCAGCACGGCTGGGCAGGGAAGCAGCTCCAGCGCCGAGAGCCGACCCCCGGCGCAGCTGCTGGCTGCCCTCCCGACGAAACCGGCTTCACTGCGGCGCAAAGACCTGCTTTGCACCCAGCACCCGGTGCCGCGGCCCCGCGGGGCTGCACCCCGCCTGTCCCGGCGCTCCATCCCTGCCGCACTGCGGACCCACTCCAGGGCCGAACCGGGGATCCGTGTCTGCCCAAGCGGGACCCCGCGGGATCCGCAGGGGCCGGGCCGGCCCGGCCGCCCTCGGCGCGGGCAGGGGCCACGCAGCCGCCCCCGCGCGCGGGCCGAACGGGGCCGAGCGGAACCGAACGGATCCGAGGCGCGCCGGGCCGGGGCGCGCGGCGGGAACAATGCCCCGCGCCGCCCCCCCATTGTCGCCGGCCGCCCCGGCAGGAAGGGGAGGGGTCGCCGCCAGACAATGCCTCCCCGCGCGCCCCCCGCCCCGCCCGGCAGGCCCCGCCCCTCCTCCCCATTGGCTGCCGGGGAATTTGGGGAGCCCCCCCCACCGCCAGCGTCCCCCCCCCCCGCCGGGGGCGCGCGCGCCGCATTGTGCCGGGGGCGCGCGGGGATGGGGGGGGCGGGCGCGCGCGGCCGCCGTCGGGGGCGCGCCCGGGGGCTCCCCTTGTGTGTGTGCGCGCGGAGGCGCAGCGCGGCGCGGCGCCATGGAGGAGCTGAGCAGCGTGGGAGAGCAGGTCTTCGCCGCCGAGTGCATCCTCAGCAAGCGGCTCCGCAAGGTGGGACCCCCCCGGCGCCCCCCCGGCGCGCCCCGCCCGGCCGGCCCCGCCGCTAACCCGCCGCTCCGTGTCTCTCTCGTCCGCAGGGCAAGCTGGAGTACCTGGTGAAGTGGCGAGGCTGGTCCTCCAAGTGAGCGCGGGCGATGCGCGGCGCGGGGCGATGCGGGGCGATGCGGGGCGCAGCCGCCCGCCGCCCGCCTCGCCGCTTTTGTTCGGGCCGCGCCGCTCCTTTTGTTTACAAATAAGCGCGGCCGCGGCTCGGCCCTCCCCGCCGCGCGGGGCTGCGCTCCCCCCGCGGCCGCCGGGCCCCCTCCGCGGGCAGCACCGGCGCCGCCGCCGCCCCCCTCCCTCCCTGCCTTTCCCCCGCCGAAACCGGAGCTCCCCTGGGATGCGCGGGGCTCGCGCGCGCCCGGCCCGGCCCCCGACGGCCGCCCCTACCTGCGCTCCCCGCGGCCCCTCTCCGCCCCCCTGCGCTCCCCCCGGATCGCCGCCTCCGTCCCCATCGCAGGGCCCGGCCCGGCTCCGCTCCGCACGGGCCGCCCCGCGGAAACGACCCCATCGTCCTTGGATGGAGCGTTCGGGCTCCGCCGGTACCGGCGCGGCCGGGGGAGGCGGCCACCCCGCTAGTCCCTGTGCTCTGTTCCAGGCACAACAGCTGGGAACCCGAAGAGAACATTCTTGATCCAAGGCTCCTCCTCGCTTTCCAAAAGAAGTGAGCAAACTCTAAATATTTCTAAACAAATTATAAAGTCAATTAACTTCTAATTGGTCACTTGTGCAGTGGAAGTGCTGGAAACAACAGACTGAAGTGTGTCCTCGCTTTTGTGGCCTGGCTCTTTTGTTCACCTCTTGAAACCCGCAGTTCAGGTCCACCTAGGGCCATCCCTCCCCAGGCTGTGTAAACAGGAGGAATTTATGGCCCTGCACAATATGTTTTTGCACTCGCTATACAATGCGAGAGCACTAGCGCTCGGCAGAAACTTTTAGCAGAAGGATCTTGTTCCCTTTCCAGCAGTCGGGGCCTCGGCTGTGCTTGGGGGGCTGTGGGAGATGCTGAGTTTGAAAAGGCACCAGAATGTATTTATGGAGAAGGTAGTAAGGAAAGATGAGGAAGTACCGGATAGGAGAAAATGGTTTCCTCTGTAAGAGCCAGGGTGCTGCACAGAGCTGAACTGAAAACTGCAATTATTTCACAGCTATTACAGCCGAGGAATCATACACAGAGATAAAAAAAAAAAAAAAAAAAAAAAAAAAAAAAAAAAGTAGCCAGCTGGCTACATTAGGCACAGCTCTGCCAAATATTTTGGCTCCAGATTAATAAAATCATTAAAGTTTATGATAGGATTTAATTATAACTCATTTCTGGATCCATTTTTTCAAGATTGGAATCTGGCGGTTATTGCAAAAAGCACAATGTTTAATTAGCCATATGCATTATAGCTTAACACTTTCCTTTTTTAAAATAGGGAAACATGGAATAGTATAGTGACCTGAAAACATTTTCTGTATGATCACCTTGGGCTCTGCATGGCTCTCAGCCTGAGCTGCCACATCCAAAACAGGAGATGCAGAAGAGGCAAAAGAAACCAAGGAGAAAGAGCAAACTTGTTGGCTTTACAGAGAGCTTTTCCTCCGCACAGCGGCTGGAAGACTCCTGCCTCTGAGCAGAAGGAGGAAGGACAGCTCTATGTACAAACCGCTTAGCAGGGACGACTCGCACACTTCTGTTTTCCGTCGTCCCAGGAGCTTTGCTGTGTTCCCTGGGAAGTGGCAAAGCCGCTGGCTGAGGGCGGGCACGGTGCTGTGCAGAGCGCTGAGCCCCGGGCAGCAGCGAGGGTGCAAGCGCGCAGCGCTGCCTGCGCGGCCGGAGCGCCGCCTTGCCCTGGCGCCGGCTGCGAGGGAGCAGCTCGGGAAGTCGCCCTCAGGAGCAGCATCGCAAAAATCGATGCTTCTCTTCCAACGGCCGGTGACTGGCAGCCAGTAAAACAAAGGCCCTGGCTGGGATGACCACTGCAGGGCCGGGCCTGGTGAATGACTTTTGCCTCTGCAATCACCCGCACCAGTCAATCCCATGTTTTATGCAAGAGACGTTCTCATTCCTGTCTCTTGCAGTGTACCAGGGCAAATGCTGAGAATCTTCATATCTTTGCTTGAAGGTCACAATATTTATCATCCTTCCCTCAGATTTTAGTTCTTTTTCCTATCTTGCACCACATTCAGGGCCTTTCCAAGTTTTACTGTCTGCAGCAGATCATCTACCAGAGCAATACTTTGCAAATCCTCCTGGATGTGATATGTGGCCCTGAAGGGCTGGGAATGGCTGTGGGAGGGGAATCCTGGAATACAGCCCCCCAGCTTTCCCAGAGCTTGGTTCTCCCGCCAGGAGGTCGCTCCGTCAGCCGGCTCGGTTCCTTGGGTGGCACTGCAGGGGCTGCCGGCTGCTGCTGCGGGGGCCAGGCGGGCTGCTGTAAACCCCCCACACCGCCTGTTCGGAGCGTTGTACAGCCATGACCTGCAGCTGTGCTGCAGGGTGGACGGTCCCTGCAGCACACGGCGGGGGGCTGAACGGGACAAGCCCCCTTGTTGCAATAGTCCTTGGAGCTCAGTTGCCGTTCGAGCGCACTTACATGTGGGATGCCCATTGCCCACAGCATGGGCTCAAGCACGGGATGTGCTTGAAGGCTGCAGGATGGTCACCTGCTGGTAGAGGTTACAGGACCCCTGCCAGCACTTGCAGGTGGGAGCTGAGCCTGCAGCCCCCAGCAAGGTCTGGAAAAGAGGGAGGAACTCGGCTGTTTCGGAGGGTTGTTTTGTCTTCGTTGTTTTTTTCCCCCTGCAAGCATTGTCCTTAATCAGTGTTTTTCCAGGGAACACGAAAAAGAGGTGCAGAACCGGAAAAGGGGCAAGCGACCCAGGGGCAGGCCCAGGAAAAACGTGGTAAGTGCAGGGGTGGCGGGAACCCAGAGCGGCACCTGGGAGAGGTTCTCACCCTTGAGGTGCTGGGGAGCTCCAGCCCCACTGCTCGGTGTCAGGGTGCTGAAGCTTCGGAGAGCCCGGGTGAGAGGATTTGGGATAGGTGATAGGTCGGCGGAGGGGCAGGCTGGAGAAGGAGGACTTCTCTCCATTGATCTGGTGATGGGGTAAAGGGCACCGTGGTGTTCAAGCCCCTTCTGTCCTAAAGTGCACATTCCCTACCTCGGGTTAAGCCTGAGGCTGCGTAGCCTCCAGGACTGGCAGATCAGGATGCCTGGAAATAGCCCCTGTGTGTGCAAAGCTGCACGACTGGCAATACCCACGACTGTTCTTGATAATTTCTGTTAACACTTCCCCTGTCCCCTCCTAATTGCTTCACAGGAACCAGAGATGCCTCCAAAAACTAAGTCAAGTAGCTCCTCTTCCTCAACATCCTCCTCCTCTTCCTCCTCTGAAGAAGAGGATGAAAGCGACCTGGAAGCCAAGAGAGGTCCTCGAGGCAGAGAGACTCACCCAGTGCCTCAGAAGAAAGCCCAGATCCTGGTGGCAAAGCCAGACATGAAAGACACTTCCAGAAAGAAGCGTGGACGGAAACCCCTTCCCCCGGAGCAGAAGGCAGCTCGGCGGACCGTGAACCTCACCAAGGTGCTCAAGACGTCGCGGAAGGAGGCTGGAGGCAGCGGCAAAACGGCGGGGAAGGTGCCGGGCCAGCCCGGCGCACAGGGCTCAGGCCTGGCCGCGCTCAAGGAGCCACCGGGCGCTCTGGCTGGGCTCAGCTCTGCGTCGCCTGCCGAGAACCTGCCCGGCGTGCTGAAGAGCGGCTCGGGCAGCCCGAGCAGGGCCATCAGCTGGCAGAGCTCCATCGTGCACTACATGAACAGGATGTCCCAGAGCCAGAGCGCAGCGGAGACGTCGCCCCTGGGCAGGCTGGCGCTCAAGTCGCAGGCAGCAAGTAAGGGCAGCCTTGGCTTGGACTTGAAGATGAGGAACCAGAAGGGATCTGGGGAGCTCGGGATGAACGTACAAGGGCCCAAAACTGTGAAGGGTCCCGGCAGCAATGCGGGGGCAGAGCAGAAAGCCGGGTTTGCTGCAGGAACCCAGATGCTGCACAACGGCAGCAAGACGCCGGTGAGCTCATCTGCTCCCGGCAGCCAGCTGGCCTCCAGTCAGGAGCTCAACCTTCAAGCTTTAAACTTGCAGAGTGTCAAAAACGGGCAGAGCGCGGCGGGCGGCAGCAGCCTCTCCCGGCACGTCTGCAGCGCCCTGCCCAAGGGCCCGGGCGGCGCGGGAGCCAAGGGCGGCGGGTCGGGCACCGCGCTGCTCCCGGCGGGCGACGGCGCCAAGGGCGACAAGCAAGCGCCCAGGGCGGGCGCTGGCGAAAGGGACTCGGCCAAGGGCGGCGCGGGCGGCGCGGTGGAGGGGCGCAAGCCCGGAGCCCTCTCCGAGGTGAGCACGGGCGAGGAGACCAGCTCAGACTCCGACCGGGATTCGGCCTCCTTCCCGGGCGTGGGGCAGAACATGTCCGTGTCCATCCAGACGAGCCAGGACTGGAAGCCCACCCGCAGCCTCATCGAGCACGTCTTCGTCACGGACGTCACAGCCAACCTCATCACAGTGACAGTCAAGGAGTCCCCCACCAGCGTGGGCTTTTTCAACCTGCGGCAGTACTGAGCCGGGCAGCGCAGGATGAGGCGGCGGGTCCCCGAGCTCCGTCCAGCTCCTCCTCCAGGTCCTTTCCATCTCGGAGCGCATGTCCCATGTGGAGGTGCGCGTCCTGCCCTGCGCTCAGCAGTGCCGGGGAGCTGAGCCTTCCTTTCCAGCGCTGCAGTGGCCTGTGCTGCAGCCACTGCTGCCTTGGGCACTGCCTGCAGCACCTGGGGACACTGCTGAGGCCTCCTGAGACCTCCTGGGTCTGGCGGCTTCAGAAAAAAGCTGCAGTGAAACCTGCTCAGAGCTGCCAGAGCCCTCAGGATTCCTCCCTGCTCATCTTCCTCACTGGTGCTCCCTTCCAGGGGCATTCCCAGGAGCAAGGGCAGCTTTGGAGCCGGGTTTCACTGTGCGTGCTTTTCTTTGCCTTTTACCTTGCAATGGCCCAACACGAGGTTTGCAGCGCAGGGCGGGAGGTGACAGCCCTGTGTGCCAGGCTCACGCGCAGGAGGGCAAGGGGCCCCCCTCCTTTCCCAGGGCTCTGCGGGAAGCTGCCAGGATGGGCACAAGTCACTCCAAATGACACAGCCATGTCCCCGTGCGGAGGTGCGGGGCAGCTCTAGCATGGGGGTTTTTCAGGGTACATTAAGCCCAGCCGCCCTCCTGGGCTAGATCAGTTCCAATGATGGTGAAGTCCACAGCATTTCCGTTGTGGTTTCCAGCTGATGTGAATATATTGTTTACATTTTTTATATATATTGAAAAAAAGAAATGTTTTTTGGAGGGAGGGAGCAAACGGAGCCCTCGCTGTCTCAGAAGGAGCAAGCCCTGGGTGCTGCGAGGCGTCACGGGCAGGAGATGCCTCCTTGCTAGGCCAGGGTGGGAGCTGCTGCTTTCCTTGCAGGGACTTGGCTTCCAGATGAAAGAGAAATCCAAGGCCAGAAGATTGATTGTGGTGCAGCCCAGTGAGCCCCAGCGGCGCTCCTCCGCTCGGCCCAGCGTCGCTGCCCTTTCCCTTCACGCTCGGCAGTTCCCAGGCACTCACAGGGACCAACGTGCCGAATGGGTTGCTGTTGTTAAGCCCTGCAGAAGGTGCCGTCGCTTCGAGCATGAGCGGGCTGGTCTCCTGGTCTGTGCAGGTAGTGCTGAAGTTCAGCAGAGGAGCAGAGCTTGTGCAGGGACGGGAAGGTCCCCAGGTCCCCCTGCCACCGCAGCCTGTCCCCGAGGAGCAGCAGGGCCTTCTGTGGCTCTCCACTGTCCCTCCATCCTGTGCCAGCAGCAGGGTTGTTAGTTTTGTCTTGCAATTGCAACCAATAATGGATTTTTTTTTACTGAGGTCTTTTCCCCACTGTAGATTTTTCTTACAAGCCGAAATTAACGGCACTAGTTCAGGCAAAGTTCAGTAGCATTTGAGGTCATTTTCTTTTATTTCGGTTAATGCTGAGCTCCTTTCTCAGAGAAGACAAAATGCCTGCAATCTGCCAGGTCTCTGTGGATACGTCATTTGGAAGTGCCTCCTAGGGTCTGTCCTCTCCTAGTGTCTCCTGGGGCGCTTGCCCAGTGTGTCTGCATATTTCCACACTGCCTCCACGTGGATCATTTGCTTTCTAGCTCCCTGGTCTGGCACAAGAACATGCGTCTTGCTTTGCCCCAGTCCGGGGCACTCGTGGTATGGACGCACAGTGATGCAGCGAGGTACATGGACCCAGCCAGGGGTACACGTGTTTCCGAGCCCGCCGGCTCCGTGGGACACTGTGGATTTGTTCGCGAGGCTGCCTCGCTGGCTGCTGCCGGCAGCGCCGTTCTCAGGTGGATGAAATATCAACAGTGGCTGCACTTGGTGGTTAAAGAGAAGGTTGTTCCCTAAGGGGTGGCTGCAGCCATTGCCAGGAAAGACTCCGGTGATCCAGGAAGAGTTTCCCTTAGATTTTGCATTTATTTTGCAGCCCCTCCGTTGGTCGCGGCTTTCGTTTGGCTGGCTGTCTTGCAGTGCCTGTGTGCAGGGTGCTGCAGCAGAGCTGGCCTTCAACGGGGTGCTAGGGGCATGTTTTTGCCTTTGAACATCTGCATCGTCCTCTTGGGCATCTTTAGTTCTTCTCTTGTGCAGCCACGAATGTCACTTGGCCACTGTGTCAGGCAACGCGGGGCCACGAGGGCAGGAATGAGCACTGGCCACAGAGGAGCTTCCCACAGGAAAAAGGTTCCTTGGGACTTCCCGATGCCAAAAGGGCACAGGCCGTTCTGTTTACCTTGTAGCTTTTAACTTTATCAAACAAACTGCTGTTGCTGTGACAAGTCCAGGGAAGGAGCCTGTGGTGCAGGAATGGGTGCTCCAGGCGGCTCCTTTGCTAGGGTGTCTGCGCTGGGGCCCATGTGTCCGCAGGGCGCTCGGCAGCGGTGCCCAACCTGCGTCCCACCACACCAAATCCTTGCTAGTTGGCCTTTGCAAATCCAAACTTGACGACAATGTGCCTTTTGGAACCGTCCTTACTTTGGGCTTGTCTGCGGCTCCGGTCCCACGACAGGTTGGTGCCTATGCAAAGCTGGGTGGTGCTGGCACCCCGTGGCAGCGGTGATGCCGTGGGGAGAGGAGATGCTCCTGGTCCCCAGCGCGGCTCCAGGAGCCCTGCTCCAGCAGGGATGCTCGTGCCAAGGACAGGATGCCGCAGCTGCTGTATCCAAGTGGTCGCTGGGGGAAAGAAAGTTTTTGAGGATGGTATGGGAAGGGATCAGAGCTGCAGGTCCATAAGGAGCGAGGGGCTCGCACTAGGGCCACAGCACCCCGTTGGACCCCCTCCAGAGCCCCCACAAGCACCTAACACATGTCTGCATTTGGGGGCTCACTCAGGGCCAGGGTGACATTCCCGGGGCCTGCAGAGCACCCCTGCAAGGGGCAGCTTCGTCCTCGGCCACCCACAGCCCCGGCTCCCCCTGCTCTCGCTATTGTGCCTTTCTACTAACCGCCTGCTTTGAGGCCAAAGCTTTAACATGGTGAAAATGATAATCCAGAAACTTCATTAAGCTTCATCTCATCCCGTCCTTCCCCAAGGCTCCTGCCAACCCCGTGTTTCAGGATCTTCACTCCCTCAGCATCGCTGGGGTGTCTCTACATTTCTTGCTGGCGTTGCCTCTCAAAGGTGCATTATGTGAGTAACTTAATGTAATCTTTTGTGGGCAGAGGTTGAAAGCTGGTACAAACCATGTTTACCAGTCAATACCATTCAATACTATTAGTATTCAAGGTTACCTTTTTTTTTTTTTTTTTTTTTGACTATTCCTTTTTAAGTTTGCTGCTATGGGTTTGAGTGTTTAGTTGTATGTCAAAGAGCCAATTAAAGGTTTGTCACTCGTCATTTTCTAAGGGGTTTCCGATGTGGGAAGTCCTGCAGTATTTGTATATTGAATGGATATTTTCTCCAGGCATAATCTGGTTAAGCATACTTGTTGTTTTCCATTGGACTGGAAGAGGTGGCCAATTCAGTCATCTTCCTTAGAAGTTTAGTCTATTTTTATATATATATTTTGTACCAAAAAGAAAACTGGAGTTTGCGGAGGAATGGGGATGGTTTGGGGGGTTCTTTGTGCTTTGAGTTTCTCATCTGGGTGTGAAAGGCTCTGGAACTGGAGACTGAAGGTTTTTACTGAAAGAAATGGAGGGATGGGTGAAAACAAACAATTGTTCTTGTAACTTGTGCCAGTCACTGGTCTGATTTGTATGTTTTAATTAAAGGGAGAGCCAAATCGTTCCTGTATGACACTTACAATTGCTTTAAACTACAGCTGTTTGTTTGCTTTTATTTTCCGAGAACAAAAGTTGGAGATGTTATTACCCTGGGAAAGCTGCGTCTCTGTGGGAGCAGGGCCAGCCGCCGGCCGCATGCTAACGAAGGGCCAAGGCTAACGAAGGGCCAAGGCTAACGAAGGGCCGCCCTGCCCTGCTCACAGGGCTCTCCTGACCCCCTGTTGCCTTGCTCGCAGTTTGTGATATGTATTTTCTAGTTCTTTGGGACGTTAATGCTAGTTTAGACTCGAAACCTCTAGGATGCTTCTAATTTATTTCGCAGGAAAACACTAGAAGGCGATATGTCAGGAGGTGTTTTTTTCTATAACTTTTCCACTGCTGTTATTTTTAGTATATCAATAAATATTTTTTTAAGCTTTTCAGCCTGGTGTGGTCACTGCTCTGCGTGTGGGGGGCGGCTCGAGGGAAGCGCCCTGGCCCCGCCCTGCCCGAGGGGCGACCCTTGCCCGCCCCGTCCAGGAGCAGAGGCTCCCGCCTTGGGAAGCTGCATCCCGCGGGGCGGGATTGGCCGCCCTGCCCAGGGACCCCCGCGCAGGGGGCCCGCGTGGCGCGGAGGGGCCCGAGTCAGCGCGAAGCGGCACCGCGGGGTGTGGGGAGCTCAGGACTCCTCAGACCGTGACCCTTCCCCCCCTGCACCCCACGCGAGGCTCCGAGTCCCCCCGGCCCGGCCCCCGGCTCCTACCAGGCGCTGGAGGCTCCGCGCGGCCGCGGTCTCCGCTGCGGGCGGGAGCTGCGCCCGCCCCGCCGCTGCGCAGCTGCCTCCGCGCTGCCCGGCCCGCGGCCGCGCAACGGCCCGGCCAGCGGCTCCGCGAGGGGATCTCTCAGCGGCCCTCGGGCCGGGCTGGGCTCCCGGCTCCGCAGCTCGGCCGTCGGGGCCGCCGTCGGGGCCGCCCCGTTGCGTGGGACCTTCGGGCTGCGGTTTCGCCAGGGCGCAGCGGCTTTCGGGCCCCGAGCCCCAGCAGGGTAGGGGAGCTCGGGGCCGTCCGGGCCGCTCCGGCGAAGGGGTCCCGGCCCCCGCGGGCCAGTCCTGGGGGCCCGGCGGCCGCCGCCCTCCCCGCCCCGCGGCCCCCGCCGCCAGCCCCGGCCTGGGGCCCCGCCGCGGCCTCTGTGAAAGGGTCCCCCCCGCTGGGACCGGGGGAGAAAGGCGCCATTGTGCGGCCCTTTCTCCTGCGCCTACTTGACACTCATTTTCCGCGCACAGATGCTGACAGCTCGGATAATAAGGGGGTCTGCGCCTTTCACCCAGCGGAGCAGAAAAAGGAGGTTAATGAGGACAAGGCTTCAAAAAAAAAAAAANTCACCCAGCGGAGCAGAAAAAGGAGGTTAATGAGAAAAAGGAGAAAAAAAAAAAAAGAACCAAAAACCCAAAACAAGAGAGCCCCCTCGCTCCTCCGCCTGCGCGGCCCGCGGAGATTTGAATACAAAGGCCAGGCTGAGGCGGCCGCGCGCCCCGACCTGCGCGGCCCCACGGCCCGGCCCCGCCGCCCCGGGGCGTCCGAGCCCGCGCATGGAGGCGGCTCCGGCCGCCCGGCGCAAGGGCGGAGCGCGGCGGCCCGCGCAGCGCCCTGCGCGCTCCCTGCGCGCTCCCTGCGCGCCTTCTCCAGAGCCCAGCCGGGGCCGCGCCGCCCTCTCCCCCGCCACAGCGCGGGGCGGACAGCGCCAAGGACCCGTCCGGTGGCCGCGGGATCCCCCGTCGGGCTGTCCTATGTCCACCTGCAGCACCGTCCCCACCGGCGGCTCCTCTGCACCCGGGCCACCCCGACCACCCCCTGGGTGCCGCCCCCTCCTTCCTCTCCCCCTGCCCCCAAACAGAAGACAGACACGTTTCTATTTACAAAGTATATATTTAAACTCACATAAAAAGCAGGTCTCATATGGACATTCACGGCTGGCAGAAGACACGTAGTTAAGCTTCACTTCTGAGACTGAGATTTAGCCAATTTTTTTTTTCTTTTCTTTTTGTACAAGTCTTAGATTTAAATAATTCACGCACACACCCCCACACACACTCAGCATATACGTCGCTATATACATACACACATATACACCCACATGTATGTCTTGCTTTATCCATGCGTGTGTCTAACTGCACACACGCATACACACTTACACAGGGCTGGAGTGAAGCGCACCGCATCCCAAGCGCACCCTGACACCCAGGGAGGCCGGAGCTGTGCTGGGGGCTGTTCTGCAAAGGGAGGCGATTTCCCAACCTTCGGTATCCCGGCAGGTGGAGGAAGGGCAGCTAAATCCCCATCATTGTCCATGCGACAACATTCGCGGCCCGTGCGGGCTTCTCGAGGGACCGGCACCGACTCCTGCACACTGCTTGCTTCAGTTCTTTGTACAAATCAGGTTAAAAATCTCAATTTTACAAAATATGCCTTAAAAAATAACAACAACTTGCAGACCCAGCTTCCTTTGTACAGTCAATACAGCATCCTCTTGCTATGTCCTCTGACAAAGACAAAAGTCCCAGAAGATGGAAGGGGAAGGGGACTAGGAAAGGTGGAACCATGATCACCCAGATGAGCCTAACGGTAGCAAAGGCCGCTCCTCACCCGAGCCTCTCTCTCTCCCCATTAGGCCCCATGTGCTTTCATCTTATGTGCAGTCCCCAAATTAGAAAGCATTTAAGAGCTTCTCTGGGCCAATCGGGATGGAAAAGGCCGATTTCCCCCAGCCCTGGCCCTCAGGGGCTGCTGGTCAGATTTGTGCTTTTGAACCGACAGAGATGCTTAAATCAATACGTTAGGACACGAGGACACCTGCTATACCTCAACTGAAAATACACAAAGCGCTTACGCTCTCTACCCAGACCTGGCCAAGGGACCCCAAGCTCAGCTTAGAAAGACTGAGCTTAGAAAGACTGGGCAAAAGAGCCGGTAGCCACGGGGCTCTTTCACACGGTAGCAGAGGGTTTCTGCCAATACCAACGAGGAAAACTGCTGCATTTTGTTCAGAGCCATTAAGTCCTCACTGTCGTGGCCTGCCCGAGCCCTGGGTGAAAGGAACGGTAGCGTCCTTCAAACCCAGAAGAAATACACAGGCAAATAAAAATACAAAAAGCCACCGGAGTCAGCAGGAGCTGCTCCGCACACAGGGATATTTAGCCTCTTGGCTATTGTTTAACTAGCACAAGAAGAGGGAAATATTTATTGTCTCTCAACGCATAAAGGTGGCCCTGGGATTCATCAGAGATGTGGATATTACAAAACATTATCTGGTGTCTTCCAACAGTCCAAAGTGAACTGCGGGTTTGAAAAGAGAAATCCGCTTTCTATCAGAGTATAAAGCATCCAACTATGGGCAGTGACATGCTACCCTCCCAAACTCCTCTGGCATTTCAGGAATGTAAACAGATTTTTTTTTTTTTTTTTTTTAGTGGGTGGGGGAAAAGAATCAAGCGACCAGACAAAATGAAACCAGATTCTCAGCTCAGTTCTGTCTCCCATAACTGCTATGACAATTCTATTAAAGTGCATTTCAGTATCACCCCTTTGAGGAATCTTACACATACGAACCTCCTCTTTCTTTGCAAGAGAAGGTAATTCAAGTTAATACTCCACTAGAACAGTTTTAGCCTTTTTATGGACTTCTGCTTTTCCCCACCCCAATTTTGTAGCAACTTTTTTTTTTTTCTCCCCTCATTTAACTGGAAACACCCCCCTCCCCAGCAATACTGTAAATTCAAGTGCTTACTTCAACTGTCAAGGGCGACAGCTCGGGATACAGCACACTTGATTGTACAAGCAACACCTTATAACACAATCAAGAAACCAGGGCACTTTGCCCACCGAGGGAATAACACTTCCCCCTTCACCATCCATAGCATCATATGAAAAATTAATAGTTTTAAAAAAACAAACCAACATAATTAGCTATGAACATCATTCAGTATGTACATCGGCTCCTGCAACAGATGCATGAATTCCGTTAGTTCTCAGTTTTATTGTCCTTTCTAAGAGCAACTGAGCAGTCACTGTTGTCTCCATTTAAATAAAACAACTTAGAGTTGAAATATATATATAGATATATATATAAGCATTTTCTTCTTAAATAACATATTTACATCTAATAGAAAATATAACTCTAGAGATAATCTTTCCAACGAAATGTAAGACAAAGAAAAAAAAAAAGAATTTAGAACAGTTTCTAAATCATCTCCAGGAAAAAAAAAATAAAAATAATAAAAAAACCCACCAAGCTCTAACCAAGCTCTTGTCTGGATCTAGACTGAAAATTAAAAATTAAAAAAAAAATTAAAAAAAGGAAAAAGAACAAAACCACCACCAGCACTCCTGAAAAAAAAAAAGGAAAAAAAAAACTCATCGCTTTTCTCTAAAGAATCCTTGGTCCGTGCTGCTCTCTTTAATTGTGACAGTCAAAAAGTTAGATGTCACATCAGTTACCACGACCTTCTCCAGGTTGTTGAGGGACGGGCTCCAGGACTCCTCCTCGGGGTCGCCCAGAATCCGCGACACGGGGATCCTGGCAATGAGCGAGGGCCTCCCCGCCTGGCCGCCCACACCGTCTCGGTAGAGGCTGCCCATGGAGCTGGGGCTCACCGAGCTGTGCAGGATCTTGGGCCCACCGGGGTCCAATCCTCCTTGCCCCTTGGGGTCCAGAAAGTCGGCCCTGTGCTTGGCGACCCTGGCAGGGTAGTTCTCAGCGGCTCCAAGCTTCATGCCAACCTCCACTCTGTTAGGGCTGGACATGGTGCCGGAGAGGTCGGGCTCCTGCCGCCTGGCTAGCTGGATGACACTGTGTCCCGAGCTGAATTTGGCCGCCCCCGGAGCTGACTCCTCTATCTTCCTGGCCTTGAGGTAGTCCCCCACCTTGTCCCCCGGCTCCCCCAGTTTCCTCTTGGAGGCATCCAGAGTCTCCGTCAGGTCCTTGTAAAGCTCTTTCCTAGGCTTTGGGCCTCTCTTTTTGGGAGTTTCCCCAGGCTTCTCTTCCACTCTTATAACCCGGTCCCGGATGCTGTCTCCCTTGGGGGTGCTGCTGCTGCTGCTGCTGCTCTGGGGAGCCAGGGCTATGTTTCTCAGTCCTTCCCTAGCTCGGGATGTGGAGCCCAGTTCCTGGGGGGACCTGCCGGGATACGGCACCCGGATCCCCCTGGAAGAGTCACTGCGGAATTCATAGGTTTTGGCTTTTGCTTTTGCCTGGGCCTGCAAAGTGCAAAGAAGATAAATCAACCAGTGACTTTATTGTCCTGCCATCCGGCCGGGTAATTAGAAGTTGCGAGATGAGAGGCTGTCTTTGCAAGGAGCATTCCCAGCAGCGCTGGAGAAGGACCGTGCTCTTTGCATCCCGCCCTCCACGCTCCCTGCTGCAGCAGGCGGCCCCTCCGCTCCCCGAGCCGGCCGCAGCGACGCGTGCATGGGGCTCCTTACCTTCAACAGGAAGGTTTTGGGCTTGGGGCCTCGCTTTTTAGGCCCGTATAGCTCCATTTCCCGCTCCCTAGAGGTGTTACAAAAAACAGAGCTTCAATTCAGCATAGCTACAAGACAGCAACATATTTATAAGTGCAAAGGGTATGGCTAGCAAAGGCCTTGTACCTCTCCTCAAAGGCTGCAAGCAGCCGGGCATCCAGAATGTTTTCCTCGGGTTCCCAAGTGCTGTACCTGGCAGGGGCAGCACAGAGAGAGGAAGGCATATCAGGAATAAGTAATAATGGTAATAATAATAAAATACATGAAGATGTACATAATAATAAATATATAAAGAAATGGCTCCAACTTCCCTTTCTACTACAATGAGAAATAAAAGCTACAATGAACCATCTTCTGCATAGTCCCTAGGCTGCAGAATCGGATAAACAGTCCACTTACTTCTGAGACCAGCCCTTCCATTTTACGAGATATTCCATGCGCCCCTGCAGATGCAAAGAGGAAAAAAAAAATAAATATGCATGGAGGGAAATCGCGATAAACGCCTGCAACAAAGCTGCACATGCAATAACACGCATGCAGCAAACACACGCCTGCACCGAAGGCGGGCACCAGAAATACGCGAGGAGGAGGGTCGCGGCGGGGAGAGCTGCAACAAAAAAATAGGCGTGCGCGGGCGCGCAGGGCCGCCCATGCAGCGCGCTCGGGAGCCCGGGGCCGCCCCGCCGCAGTCGGCGCGGGCCGGGCCGGGGC